TTTCGACAGAATGCTGCAGAAATACGCATTATTCAGGGTTGACAGAGATGCCATTAGCGGACAGTCCATCGAAAAGGATGTTGAGATGTTCCACTGGTTGTTCTATAGAAGCGGTGGCCACTAGGATTTCGTCAATTTATTGTTAGACGAAAGCTAGATCCCTAGTGACTGAATCGATAAGTCGTTGATAAGTGTGGGCTGCATTGCGAAGACCGATGAGCATACGCAAAATATCTAGGAGCCCAAACGGCGAGAGTATTGCAGTCTTCGGTTTGGCATCCTCAGCGACTGGCATCTGGTGATAAACGCGAAACAGATGGAGTGCTTTGACCATACCTGAGGTAGTAGACCTCGAGGAATTCGAGAATAAAATATTTATTTATTTATTTATTTTCGAAAACATCCGGGAGTCCCGCAGGCTTGCCGTAATGTCCTGAATGGGAAGAATAGTATAGCGCTCGGAAAGAGTAACCTTATTTAGCGCGCGGTAATCACCACCTGGACGTCAGTCTTCTGACGTTTTGGGCACTATGTGGAGCGGCCATACCCAGGGGATTTTAAACGGGCGAACGTTGCGTAGTTCAAGCAGGTACTCGAATTCTGCGCGCACAATGTTTCGTTTCTCAGGGGTCATTCGCCTGGCTTTGGCGAAAACAGGCGGACCTTTGGTAATGATGTGAGGTTTTACTGCATCAGTGGCATATGAAAACGGTGCATTGCATGAAATACCTGCGGGAACTTGATATTAATCATATGAACATAGGTGAGCTCGATTGGTTGGCGTATACTGGACTGATTGAGTCAATGTCGTGCAAAGGACCTATAACTGCCAGAGTTGTTTGACGCTCAAACAGACGGAGTTGCTTCGCGTCAGCAAGCAAAACGAAGTGTCGCAGACAGCCAAAACCAAGCATTGGCGTCTGGACAGCTGCGATGAGGCAAATCCATTTAAAAGAAAGTCGCAGGTGTAACTTATGCTTGCGCATGGGTCGTTCAAGCACGTCTGCGGTCGTGCCCTTTGCTGAGCGTCATGAACTAGTCGCCCCTTCAGTGATGTCCTAGGGATCACTTAGGCTAACGCTGACTTCTGCGTTTGTGTCAACGAGAAAGCATACGCCCGTACGGCGATCGGTGATGGAGAAAAGACGACTGCGGCGACCGGCAACGCTCGTCGCCCTCTACCTGCTGACCGTCCCGGTTTCCTGCGTTTTGTGCTTGAAGTATCATGGCGGGCGACACGAACTGGCCTTATGACCAAATCGCTCTTGGTACCAATAATGGCTTGACCTAAGGGGCGACTTCGAAGGTTATCTAGACGGGTGCGACTACTGGAACCATTCCGGCGGTTGGAACCGGACGGCGTTAGGTCCTCCAGTCGGTTGGTAAGTGCCGCTACTTGTGCTTTTAATTCTGCTAACACCGTACTGGCAGTAGGCTGAACTTGAAATGATGGGGCCTTGGCTTCTCTATTACAGTCGGTAATGTCGCCGAGCTGAGAAAGCGGCGCATCATTCGCATAAAGGTTGTTCCGCTTGTCACTTGGCAGGTGAAGAAGCCACATCACTTTAAGGAAAGGGTCGCCAACAGAGAAGGCTTGGCTAGTGTCTGCAGCTTTGCAGCGACTGTGAAGGCTTTAGAGCATCTAACTCGTTTTCCGGAATGCGAGCATGGTCCCATAGGCCCAATCTATTGAAGATGGTGGCCTTAAGCTCATCGTAACTATTCTGATATTCAGGAAGCTCCAAGGCGTCGAAGAGGTCCTCGACGGCCTGCGGAGGAAGCGTTGCAACCAGGCCGTGAAATTTGACTGTCAAGCCTAACGCCATGTAACGAAACAATGTATGCTCGCTTTTTAAATCAGGCCTAAGTATTTGTCGCTCGGAAAGGCGGGATGGGGAAACGGAGCCAACTAACCTGCTAGGCAGAAGCTCGGTGAATTCCCTGAAAGCTTAAAAAATACGAAGCTTGGGAAAGTGAACCCAACTAGTAAAACGTACATTAGCAGGGCAGACAGCATAGGTTAGCGGATGTGAACAGATATATAAGTATCAAACTCAACGAACATTTTTCGGGGTCGCCAAATGGCGCGTAGATCTTGCGCTATGGATCCAGTACGAGCCTAGACGACCAACCAAAAGCAATGGGTAGAACACAAAAAAGTAAGCTAGGGAAAAGTTTATTGAATGGGAGGAAAGTTAACTAATGCTAAAAGTAACTCAACAGATGGGTGCTAGCTTTGGAGGATGTAGCCGGGCGGCCAGTGTGTTGACGGAGCGTCGTTAGCAATCGAGTCGCGCGCACCGAGCGCGGATATTTTGTTCAAGCTTCAAGAAAGCGAGAACAAAGTTCTAAAAGCAAACCGCCTAATTCCTTAGTCCATAAGGAAGCTCGGTGGCTGGCCGAACAACCTCATCGTAGTGCCAGCTGGTTGGCTCGGTTTTACCCCCTTCCAGCAAACAGTGCGGCGGCAGTGTTCCAGGACGTGGTGGGTTTTCGCCTGGCAAGCCTTCTCCCTATAAATTACAACAAAAGTCCGTTTACTAACACTATGAAGGGGCGGCTGTGACTAGTCACTAACTAAAGTAACGCATTGCTTATCCGGACAGTCGCTTCGAGTAAACAGATAGCAAGCATCCATTTAGCACTGGCGACAAATTCAACCACATACAAGCAAAACGACAAGAAACATTTACCAATCACAGAAACAAAGCTAAACAAGCCTACATGCAAACTCACATACATTCATATATAAACATATTCAATAATCCCATTGTTCCATTGTACATTAAATGATCACATTTTGTACTCTTAACATGAGCATGCCTGCGCACGCGTGCCTCGCTCATTCGAGAATACACAAGGTATGTGTTTATTTATTTATTTATGTATAATTTTAATAAATTGTAGTACAATTTATACAGTCATCGGGGAAGGACCAGGTCACTGCAACACATTTCTCATATAAATAGCGCACATTGTACCTCGTAGAGCCGAGTTTTCATGTTCCTATTGCTAGGTCTCCGACATCTGTGAGCTAGTTGTGCCAAGTACTAATACTAAAGAAATGAGCACCGAAAAATTTAGCAAACTTTAGCAAAATGCTTCGGGCGTGAAATCCACTTGGGTATGCGTTGGTGGGGCATCACCAACTTTATTGCTTGGAATTGAGCTCGTTGAAACAGGAGTGATTATTATACTTTATAGGTTGCTGCACGCTCTTGTGCAGCTCGTTGCTTACTTTCAAGCTATTCCTCCCATTTTATTTTCTGCAGCAAGTATAGCAGCAGTGTTCATCCAGGTGGCAATATCAACTCGCACTGTAAAGTTGCACCAGCCATTTCCTGGGTGCTTTTCCTGACAAGTGCTCTTCTAGCATCCTAAGCAAAGCGTGATAAGGTAACGTAATAATAGGATAGTAACTAACAAAAATGTGGTAGCTGATACTTCACTCACCATTTCCCGTAAGGCATGATAGACTTTGGAGCCAGGTAAAAGCCAAATACGCAGTGGCGGCCAAGGCAAGGCTAAGTGGGGGTCAAATTTTTCTGGATGTCAAACCAGCCAGTGTAACAGGGGCCTTGCTGTTACTAGTTAAATAAATAAATAAGCAAATTTTATTCTCGATAACGCGAGGCACACCTTTACAGGTATGGTTATATTTAGCGAACATAGTGTGATCAAATTGTACAAAAGGACATGTTTGGCATAACAGTGTATGTAAGTATATGGGTGTATATACGTATGGCGGGAGAGCCTATGGTGCGCTGAGGCTGGTGGTGGCTAGATCCTGACAGATGGTCTACCCACTGCTGCTACTGCTGCGCCATAGTCTCAGTCCTGGGCGCCTCCACGTGGCGACCGCTGGGTGAGAGTTGGGTTTCGCCCTTCTCCCTGCTAAGATCCAGGACACCAATCCGCATGAGTCAGCTAACTGACCATGTGCTAGACCCGCTGCATTTCGGGTGTTCATTTAATCGAAGGCTTTGGCTGAGGACCCGAGTCGTTCTCCTTTCAGGACTGGGCACTCTGGCAGTATCCTAGTCCATCCTCTTCGGAGGTTAGGAGGTGGTCGATGGCCCACTTCCCGTAAACCCTCGCCATGGGAGACAACAGGTTTACGGGTTATATTCTTAATGCTCGATTGGCGTAGAGCACGAGTGCCACGCATTGTCTCTGACGGTGGGAGGACGCCTCCGGGTGCTCAATGGTTTGCTACTGCCCGCCTCAAGCCAGGCAGCCCCTGGTCAAATAGGTGCAAACCCGCCAACAACCTACCTGCGTCTGGCCCTGGTCGCAGGTGCGCACCCTACTACGGTCGCAAAATATATAATAATTGTTCTAGTACCTCAAAGGCTGCGTGTGACGGCTGTCAAGATGATCCCCATCTGTCTCTGCAATCACATTCCCGAGCTGGATCTGCTCTCCACTGCCTTGTGGGTTAGGCTATTGAGTCTAAGGCTCCGGGCGGAGTCCCTCAAGCAAACCTCCAAACCACCCACTGCCTTGTGGGTCAGGCTATTGAGCCAAAGGCTCCGGTGTGGTCCCTCAAGCAAACCTCCGAAGCACAACGACCACCTCGCGTGCGATTGCCCACCAATGCACTCGTATGCCTGCGCGCAAAGCACTCAGCATCGGGTGCTGGAACGTGCGCACACTACTGGACCGGAACTCGAGCGAGCGCCCGGAGCGACGCACTGCACTGGTCGCAATGGAGCTGGCGCGATACAACATCGATATTGAGGCGCTCAGTGAAACTCGGCTCGCTTGGCAAGGTACGTTGCATAAAGCAGGTGCTGGCTACACAGTCTACTGGGTGGGGAACGCCGCCTCAGCACCACTTGAACATGGGGTCGGATTTGCAATATCCGATCGCCTGAATGGCCAACCGGTGGGTGAACCAACGGGCATCAGCGCGCCACTGATGACTGTTCGCCTACGACTCGGAAGAGATAAGTTTGCTACTTTTATAAGCACGTACGGTCCGACCCTGTGTTATCCTGATGACGCGTGCTCAATTCTACGCTGAGCTATCCTCCGTGATACGGTCTGTGCCGAGGAGCGACCGACTATTTCTGCTGGGTGGTTTCAACGCGCGCGTTGGGCGTTATGCATCAGCGTGGACAGATGTTATCGGTGCGCATGGCATTGGTTCAGCGAATGCGAACGGTGACAGGCTGCTCTCACTGTGTGCCACTCACGGCCTGACAATCACGAACACTCGGTTTGCACTGAGTGCGAGTGATTTAGCAACTTGGACGCACCCACGGAGTGGTCACGCTCACCTGCTCGACTATGTCACCGTACGTCAGCGTGATATGCGTGAAGTGCGCATGACACATGTACTGCGTGGAGCTAAGTGTGGCACTGATCACAAATTGGTTCGGACCAAACTGTACATATATTTTGTTAAATCGATGTATTGCACTCCCGCCGTGAATCGGCGTAAATTTAACATTCTCTCCCTCGGTACTGTGGCGAAACCTACTGAGCTGCAGAAGGCGATGGCTGCACGTCTGTGTGATATGGACTGTATAGCCACAGTGGACGACCTGTGGCACCACATTCGCGACCAGGTGACAGCTGCTGCCGAGGAGACCATCGGGCGCGCAAACTGTAAGCGGCCTGATTGGTTTGATGACAACAATGTGACGATTGACGCATTAGTATCAGAGAAGAATGCAGCATTTGCTGCACACGCTGCAAACCCCAGTGACTTGGGGAAGAGTAGTCAGTTTCGCAAACTTCGACGGCGACTGACCCGAGAGCTCCGTCGCACTAAAAATGCATGGTGGACAGAGAAGGCGAAGCAGATGGAATGCTACGCCGAACGCCGTCAACACAAGGAATTCTTTGACTCCTTGAAGGCGGTGTATGGACCGAGATTGGTGTCGCTGAGGACACTGATCGATGGTAGTTCGGGCGCTACCTGCACACCGACTGCAGACATTATGCAGGTCTGGCGGAAACACTTCGACTGTCTCTTGAACAACCGTTCAGAGATCGACTGGCCTACATTGAATGGCCTGAAGCAGCACGATGTGAAGGCGGATCTGGCGGATACGCCGAGACTGGATGAGACGCAGAGGGCACTTGCTCAGCTTTGAAACGGCAAATGTGCCGGAGGTGACGGGATCCCACCTGAAGTATTGAAACACGGTGGACCCGCGTTGTTGGCTGCGCTGCACCACTTGGTGCAACGCGTGTGGATTGAGGAGGAGGTGCCTCCTGAGCTGAAGGATGCCCTTGTGCTACCACTGTACAAGTGCAAAGGGAGCAAGCAATGTTGCACGAATTATGGTGGCATCAACTTGCTGAGTTGTGTGGGCAAGGTGGTTGCCCGAATCCTGCTCAACCGCCTCGTCAGTCAGATTGTGGAACCAAACTTGGAGGAAGAGCAATGTGGATTCCTTTCGGGTCGCAGCACTATAGATATGGTGTTTGCGGCTCGTCGGTTGCAAGAGAAGTGCAGAGGACGACACCAGCCATTGTACTCGCTTTTTGTTGATTTCACCAAGGCAGTTGATACGGTGAACCGCGAGGCACTGTGGCCGGTGTTGGGTAAGTTTGGTTGCCCGCGTAAGTTTGTAAGTTTAATTGAATGTCTGCACAGTGGTATGCGAGCGCGGGTGCAGCTGAGTGGAGAGACCTTGGATGACTTTGCAGTTGTTTCTGGTGTGAAGCAAGGCTGTGTCTTAGCTCCTGCCCTGTTTAATATTTATCTTCATGCAATGTTGTTTTGTGCTTTTGATGCGGCTTGTGCTTACGGTGTTCGTGTGGAGCACCGTATTGATGGTGGGTTGCTGAACATCCGTCGTTTCTTTGCGAGAACTCTAGTCTGTGAGACAACTATCCGTACGTTGCTGTTTGCTGACGACTGTGCGTTGTTTTCACACAGCGCGGATGAGTTGCAGCACATGACTAGTGCTCTGGCTTCGACAGCGACAAAATTCGGGCTCACCATCAACACAAGCAAAACTGTCTGTCTCTTTCAGCCTTCACCGGAGGTGCAATCTTCAATATTGCGGCAAATCAGCATTGGTGTTGAAGTATTGGAAACCACCTCCCGCCTCTTCTACCTTGGGTGTGTGATGTCGACTGACCAGCAGCTACACAGTGAGCTTCGTATCCGCGTATCGAAGGCAGCGGCGGCATTCGGGAAGCTAGAGTACCGAGGGTGGAACAACCATCAGCTTACCATTGGTACGAAGCTGATGGTGTACAAATCCATGGTACTGTCCGTTCTTCTATACGGCAGTGAAACGTGGACGATGTACCGTCGGGATGTGCGATATCTCGAGCGGTTCCATCAGCAGTGTCTGCGACGAATTTTGCGGATCGGTTTGGGCGCCAGAGTTGCAGACATGGAAGTTTTGCGCCGAAGTGGGATGTATGCAGTGGACGGCATACTTTTACTGTGACACGTGAGGTGGCTCGGTCATGTGAGCCGTATGGATTCGACGCGAATACCGAAACAATATTTATACGGTCAGCTGAGTATAGGGAAGCGGCATGCTGGGAAACCAAAGTTACGTTACCAGGACATGATTAAAGTGAGCCTCACCCGTTCTAACCTTGATTGCAGATAATGGGAATCGAAGGTGGTTGATCGGCGTGCATGGCCCGATCTAATCACGAAGCAGTTGCTGAAGTGCGGGAGAAAGCCCTCATGCATGCAGAGAAGAAGCGGCAAGTGCGGAAGCGGCAAGCACTGATGAATTGTACTCCATCGACATCGAGCGCATGGTGCTGTAGAACATGCGGTCGCGAGTGCCTTAGTCAGGCAGGCCTAGTGAGCCATGAGAGAGGTCACTCGGGGCCACTGCCGAAGCGACGACGGGTCCCGCAGTGAACGTATGCAGCACCGGCGCAGCGTTTGTAGGCACGCTGAATTCGATTTACTAACCGCATGCTTGCATGCTAGGTCTCTTTATTTCAGGTGGTGGGTATTCGGTTCTCTCTTGCTGCCTCTCTTTCTCGTATAAATGTCTAGTGGACCATGAGCTAGGTCTTTGGGGCCACTACAGATGCGACTACGGGTCCTGCAGAGAATTACGGCGAGCCGGTGCAGCGTTTGTAGGCACGCTGAATTCGATTTACTAACCGCGTGCTTGCATACTAAGTCTCTTTATTTCAGGTGGTGGGTTTACAGTTTGTGCATTAATGCTTTTCTTTCTCATATAAATGTCTGCCAGTACTCTATTCCATTAAGTTGCACACCTCGCCTAAGCCAATTGTATTCGATTTCCGTAGAATATTTATGTTCGTGGCATTCCGTGAACCATATTTCCTGACCTCGTGCACTTAGCTAGGATTTGTTTGTAAACAACTTATTACATATGCTATTTAATTAAGGTTTATATCACCGTTTCCTTATGCATTAATCGAGTTTTTCTGTTTTTCTTTCTCTCTCTCTCAAGTGGTTGGCTGTTGTTTGATATCCCCGGTGTGGCTGCGCTTGATGTGCATGTTGACAAGGTGCCTACCTGTCCATTACCCACTACATCGTCCATACTGGCTCCAGGAGACAGTTGGTCGTTGCTGGAGGGGACGAGGTGCACCGTCCTTGTGGCCGTGTTAGGATCAAAGAGTGGTTCCATGCAGTCAGTGTGGAGCGGACTACGGTCCAGCCACCGCCTTGTGTGCGCTTGATTCCCCAAATACAGTGTGCTTGTGTTTGCCTGTGAAGGAGTGTGGGTCGGCTCCGTTGATGAAACGTGGTTCCCATCCGCATGCCTCCCGGTCTTATTCCTTCGGGTTTACACTGGATATGGGGCATGTGGTTGGAGCTGTGGGTGGTGCAGCGCAAGCCATCCATGGTCCCTCTGTAGACGCAGGCGTCCTGTGGCTTGCCACAGTGACAGGCAAATCCGAAACCGGATGCCGCCAACCATGTATATACGTATGTAATTGTGGAGGAATGTAGCTTGTGGTTTTGAATGCGCCGCAGAATGTTTTACTGTTTATTATCGTCAGAAATGTGAGAATAAGCGACTGATTTTCGTGGGTTGGATAGCATTTTTCGAATATCCACGGGCCAGTGAATTTAGTTTGTGGCGCGTCACGTCCGCCACGTTGCAGTGTCGTTAAGCAGACATTTGTGGCTTTTTATAGGGAAAACGCTTGCCATGCGAAAACCCACCACGTCCTGGAACACTGCCGCCGAACTAATTGCTGGAGCGGGTTAAATCCGAACCACCCAGCTGGCTCCACGAGGAGGTTGTTTGGCTAGCCAGCTGTTATTCCATTGAAATAGAATCTAGGAATGCGAGTGTTTTACTGGCGTAAGCGGTTGAAGAAGCAGTACCGGTTTCGAAGACGTCTGCATATTCGTGTTGCCAGTAGTGATAGGAGTAGGTATAGCAGGTGACACCAAGTAGATGGGGCCAAAGGAGAATAACTGAGGAGTAAAATGTCCGATTCTTGAGCTTATTCCTTTTAAGGTTGTCTCTTTATCGACACGATGGAAGGTATACATATTATATTGCACTAAGCATACCAATGATAGCGGGAAACGCTGGAGTAAAGTAGCTAATACTCAGGCTTAAGGAAAAGGCATCAATTAAGGCCAATTAGCAACGGACAACTAGGAAGGTACGTAGAGATACATCTGGAATTGGTATTTTGATTAGGTTTCTGATAATTTCCATGCTACCCTTAGGTGAATCAACAGCAACAAGAGATTTCAGCATCGTATACCAGGCTTATGTCTGGTAGGTTGCCTATACTGGGCATACCGCAAACGTCACATGCCTAATATTCTTTCCACGGCCCCAGTGGTCTAAAGTTTTGAAAAGTGATTAAAGCTAATGCTGGAGCCAAGGAATGAAGGAGTAGATAAGATGAGAGGATTGAAGTTTGCTTGCTCAGCAGGCTTCGTTATTGCCCTGTACTACCCTATACGAGGAATACCAACGGCTTTGCGAACCCGCAACTCCGCACGCTATGCCGTACTGTTTGTTGAACTTTGTAAAAATTGACAACGTGGTCACTGAAAAAGAGCAGCTGGGGGTTGCAATTACCAGTTGGTCCATGTAGTCTTTGCACCAACGTCTCAGTGAGGGCACCGAAGCAACTCAGGTACTAATCAGAAATGGCTAAATAACTTCGCATTCAGCATTCTAATATTAGCACTTGCAAGTGGCGCACGACTGAACCGACTGAGATCTCTCGGTGTTGCGATTGGAGAGATGAATAAGATGAGAACCTAGGGATCGTTGATGGAGACAATTCCCGGGGGTTAGCCTAACCATTAGCTCTTACAGGATGCTTTTGTGGTGGCGGCTGCGCTTCCCATTGTAACTAAAATGTATGTAACTACAATGTAACGCCAATGTATGTGAGTGAGTTTTTAGCTCAGCGTGTTTTGATGTCATGTACTATGTCGCGGTTGTCCTGAAGCTACACCAGGGCCAGGTTTGAACATGTAGTCTAGCGAACCGCGGATATTAAATATGTGTTGTATGGTGGCAACACATGGGAACCCATGTATCTCTTTCCTGAATGTCTGCGAGGTTTGGATTTCGCTTAGTCTGGAAGGCAACCTGTTCCATACGTTTACGTCTACAACTAAGTAGAAACGAGATCGCAGTCTCTTCTTTGCCATAAGCGAAATAATGGCATGCCCCTTGTTTCAGAGTTGTGCTTCAGATGCGTTTCGTACTTTAAGACAAGTGATATTACTGTGCGACTTTTATGAATTAGCTTATGTAAGTAGCACAGGTTGGGGATAATGCGCCTTTGCCAATGGTGTTGAGCTTTAAGGTGTTTGCACCGTTGTCGATAAATCAGCGCTTGCTGTGATGTAGACGACGTCTTCGTAAAGCACCGCTGTTGTTGAAGCAGAACGCCGCTCGACGTTCTTAGGTTGCTACATATAAAAGAGCCATATTCTAGATGTGGATGGACGTGTCCCTTATTAGTCTCCAGTCTTGCATCCGCGGTTTTCATGTGCCCGCGCATGTGGAAAGCTAATTCACTTACGCTTGCCACTTGTTGATGAACTTCCTGTGCAAATTTGAGACACATGGAATAGCGCAAGCCGAGATCTGTTGTCACGGCATGCTGTTGGATCGTGCTGCTGTTTATTGTTAGGGACCCAGCAGGC